GCCATTGTCTGAGAAATCCAGGCAAAATAAGCAAATTCTGGAAGTGATATCTTCAAATTGTCTTCATTTTCAGATATTTTGTAAAAAATAATGAAAGTAGGCCACTGGTAAATTTTTTTTTTTTAAATCTTTTTTATTTCGGAGATATTGGGTCTCAAAATTTGGCCCGTTTTGAGAAAATATTTGAGCATGTAATGCAATTGCTACTTTGAAGGACAATTTTAGCAACATGAGTATGACAGACACATTTCTTTTTAATTTTTCTGCTAATCTAGATGGATTTCTACAGTAAAAATAAAATTAAACATGGTTACATTTTTGGTTGTCTAGAAATCATGGTCCGAAACAACAAAATTTGAAATTTTACTCTAACTTTGAGCTCTAATATCTCTTGAGGCCATTACTTGCACGCAGTATTCTTAGATGTTTTTGAAAGTCACTATGGCATACATTGGTTTTATGTAACAAATATGATGTGCATGCAAGGACCTGGGAAGGAGTAACCTGCCAAAAATCACTTTTTGCGTTTAACGCGTTTTGTTAGATTACCCCTAACAACCGTGGCCTCAGGTCTGCCATGAACAGTATAAGTTATTTAGTTTCCTTAAACATGCATCATCCAATATCTGAAAAAAAATCCATGTGCTCGGATGATAAAAAGCCTACTGAAGTCCTAAAAGTAGCCTTACTTTGCCAATTTTTGAACTAAAAAATGCCCTAGCAACGATACAGAAATGCTTAGCAACGGCTATTTTACTGCCTTAATAATTAGTTGTGTAATTGAAATTTTCATATAGTACTTTTTTATAACGGAACTGTAAAAGAATACTTGATAAAAACTTGTTTTTTAACTTTGTCAATAAAAGAAAGAACCATTAAACTTCAAGATTTTTTAAATTTTTTTCACCCTTGATAATTTTTAAAATTATTTTCAGTTTTTGTTTCTTCTACATTGTTAATAGTTATTTGATCAATTGTATTTTTATTTTATTATATATACACGTATGATATATTTTATATGGTTCTGGCGACATGATCATTTGGATCTTCTTTCAGATACCAAAAAAGATCAACGTTTTCTCCGTTTAAAATTGATGGGAAATACAGTTTTCTAAGA